ATTATTTTTAATTGACAAAAATTGTATATATTTGCCATGTATAATATGTTATTTTGAATTATGTATACATTGTAGAATGGCTAAATTGAGCTAGTTTATATATATATATAATATATGCTTATATATAGATATATATGCTCACATACCTTTTTTTTGTGATGAGAACTCAAAATCTCTTAAGGATGCTCAATATAATATGTTGTTATTAACTATAGTCACCATGATGTACAATAGATGTTTTGAATTTACTCCTTCTAACTGAAATTCTGTATCCTTTGACCAATATTTTCACCCACTCCTGCCCTAGCTCCTGGTGATCACCAGGCTACTGTTTACTTCTACAGGATTAACTTTTTTACCTTTACATGTAAGATCAAGTGGTATCTATCTTTCCGTGCTTAGCTAATTTCATTTTACATAATGTCTTCCAGGCCCATCCATGTTGCCAAAAATGTCAGAATTTTATTCCTTTTTATGGCTGAATAGTATTCTATTGTATGTATGTGTGTATATGTGTGTGTGTGTGTGTGTGTGTGTGTGTATAAATGACATTTTCTTTATCTATTTATCTGTTAATGGGCACTGAGGTTGATTCCATATCTTGGCTGTTGTGAAGATTTGTGCAATAAACATGAGAATAAAGATGTCTCTTCAACATACTGGTTTCCTTTGGAAATGTACCCAATAGTGGGACTGCTGGATCATATGGTAGTCTTATGTTAAATTTTTGCTCTATTCACTATTCCTTAATGGTTTTCTTTGTCTATCAATAGTGTATAAGGGCTGTCTTTTCCCCACATCCTCTCTAGTGCTTATCTTTCATATTTTGACAATAGCCATGTGTAAAATTTTTAAGGCTCTAACATGTGAAGTGGATGTGCATATCTTTTCTTTTCCTCTTTGTTTTTAATATATGTGCTATACCAGACCAAAATTTCATGTTATTCGGGCCTATTAGAAGTGGTGGTTCAACAGTATTCAGCTATATTTGTACGCCACCTTCTTTGTACCATGCACAATCATTGGCATTAGTTCACTAGGTTGTGAGGGGTGCAGGATCTGATCAATTTTTCCATTATTCACAATCACTTTAAAGGTAAAGACTAGTCCCATTGGATCACTTGCCTAAAGTCAACGTTTGCCTGTTGGTCCTAAGTACCGTCTCTTTTGCCCAAACTAGACGGCATTTCTAACAATGACATTATCAAGGAATGGCTATGTGTTTACCTGAGGAATGGGGATGACCAATGTGAGGGTGCACACACCCTCCTTTTGTTGGATCACACGTGAGACACAGCTCATAAGGTCTCTCACTCTTTCTGCTTAACCCCCTTTATATCATCTAATCTTTCCCCAAAATAAGCAGGAACCACACTGAGGCAATAAAAAGGAGTAATTAAAATATGTATAATATACTGATTGTCAGTTTATGCTCACCAGTATATAAATTTTTAAAGGTGTTACTGTTGTAGATAATCTGAAAATAGAACAGTAAATATATTTTTTTAATGTAACAGAGTTACAATTTTTAAACACTAAATTATACTTTTTTGGTATGTGATTTTTTGTTTGTTTGTTTGTGCTCATCAGTTTTGTTTTTTTTCTGCTCTGAAAAGCCATTCTGTAGAGTCCAGTTCTTTTTACTTTTATCCACAGGGAAGTCATAATCCCTTACTTAAATAGAAGTTGGTTACCATGGCAATCATTCTAATGGCACTGAATCAATATTTTGATTTTGCTGGCATTTAATGTAAAAAGAAAAGACAGGCTAAGATTTATAAAAGTCATTTTTTATCTTTGTTATACTGTTGATAGCTAGAAAAATTATAAAGAAAACATATGTTCTATAATGAACTCCAGTTATAGCACAATTATACAGAACTGAGTTCATAAAAGAACAATCTACATATTTATATATTAATAATTTTGGCTCTGAGTATATACATATATACACATGCATTTGGACTCAAGATTTTTTCCCCATCCCTGAATTGAGCCCTGTTTCTATGCTATTATTGAGGTCATAAATTGGTAGAAGAGATTTGCATATATCTACTTTTGCAATTGCCATTTTATTAAGTGTTCTGAAGAGAAAGTAAAATTCCCATGAAGAATCAGTTCTCTGTGGAAGTCTACCATTTCTGCACGGGGTCCCGATAACTTATATAGCCCACTGAACATCCTCAGAGCTCCTTTTTGAGGAGAAATGCTGGATTTGGAGTTGGTGTTTAATGAGCTCACTACCTATCAAGTATTTTTTCCAAGTCTAACAAGTCTTTGCTGCTGCAATTTAACCGCATCTGCTATTTTGTCTTCAGAAGAAATAAAGCTTGTTGAGCTGCTGCCTTCTGCTTGACAAGAAGGCATTGGGAGCCCACTATCCTTGAATGGTGAAGACATCTGAGAGAGAATTATGAGACTGTCTGCCCCAGGAACTAGCTATGAAATATCCCGAATGAATGGGAATCCCTTCTATTTTTAAGACAAGTGAATTGCTGCTCAAATTTTTCTTCTGTGGGGCAGTAGTCATGATTTTCTCCATACTTTCATTCTAGGTAGCCCAGCTTCCCCTCCCCAAAGGGGGGCTTTTCTGAGGTGTGTATTTTACACTCTTTCCAGAAATGTTCCTGCCAACATGACATTGATAACACATCCCTTACTGGCTACCTTTGTCCTTCTCATCTCTCTTCTGTTTTTGGGTGGATCTTTTATTCCCCTTTATACTTGAGTTATTCCTGACTGCATTCAGGACCCCATCTTTCAGAGATCACTTTCTTACGTCAGTAATTTTCTTTTGAAAACAATCTAACATAATTTATTATGTAGTTTTCTGGCAGTAGAAGTAGGAGAGTGGTGACTTCTGCACAGAGAATCACAGAAAATAAAGAGAAATGAAAAGCACCATGTATCAAGGAAACCTATGAACAACATTTAAAATTGACAAAAGGTAGGCCTCTGGGGCCTTTTAGGGTACTACTGAGCTAAGGAAACACCTATTAATACATTGTGTTTAAAAGCATCAATGTGTTACAAGCTGAAGGACTTACTGATAACTCTGAATCATGAGAAAAAGAATCAAATGTCTAATACTCTAAGAGGGCAGAGGAATAACAGTTATACACACACACACACACACACACACAAATGTTCATTGTAGCACTATTCATTGTAGCTGCAAAACAGAATCAATCTGAGTATTCTTCAACAAGATAATGATTAAATAAATTACTTGACTGTACATTTCTCTCTGTTAAAGTTGTTTCTTGACAAGTTGCACACCATGGAAATCGGTTACAATCGAAGAAGTGAAAACACAAAACACAAGACTCTATGCACTATGATGTCAATTTTGCAAATATGCAAACACATACACGTTATTCACATGTGTGTCTTAACCACATATACTTACATGCAAAGCATTTTTTGTATATGTATAGCAGGAAAAACTGAAGCCACAGGAGATTTTTTTTTTGTAGAATTTATGGACTGACTCCATCTCCAGGCATTTATTGGTATTATTCAATATGCACTGAAGATATTGGTTGTTTTTGGCTAAAGGCACCTGGGCACCAATGAGAGAGAAAGGAGAGACAAGGATGATGGCAGAGACAGCACGTACCTCATGGGCATCTGATCTCATGGACTGCCTATGAGAATCTGTGGAAAGATTAGGCCAGAAGGTCAAGGGGCTTTCATGAGGGCCTAGGGAGCCCACGTGACAATGAACACTGCCTAGTTGAAGAAAGGACCATGTGGCTCTCTGAGGCAAATTTAACACTTGGTACCCTAGGGGCTCAGAGAAGCTTGCTGTGGAGAAAGGAGAGTGGGGCAGAAGAGAAGCTATGGGACCCAGTGGAACTCCTCTCTCAAACTGTCACTGGCAGCATTGGGAACCTTGAAGTGTTTTCCACATTTGCTATGTAAAGATCTGAATGTGCCTATGCAACGAGCTGAATGTTTGTGCTCCCCAAATTAGAATGTTGAAACCTTAATCCCATAATGATTGTATGTGGAGATAGAAAGGGAAGGAGAGCAGTGCTTTCATGAATGGGATTAGTGTCCTCCTATGAAGAGGCCAATGAGGCCTTTCTGCCCTTTGAGGATACAAGGAGAAGTTGGCAGTCTGCAACCAGGAAGAGGGCCCCAACAGAGCTCTCAGGCTTCCAGCCTCCAGAACTGTGGGAAATAAATTGCTGTTGCTTATATGCCACACCCAGGCTATGGTGTTATGTTATAGCAGCCCCAACTGACCAAGATAGCTTGTGTCAAGGCACACTTGACACAAGTCACTGGAGTAAGGCTACTTTCCCACCAAGGAATTCTTGGGAGTAACTCAGGGAAGCTGAGACTCTACTAAATTCAGTAAGACCTAAAGAGCTGGTGAGACCTGGTGTTAATGTGACCTAATTTATGTTCATAGACCAGCAAGGAGGCTGGGATATATTTGATTTGTATGTTTCATAGCTGAGAAAAAACACAGGCAGGTAAGAGTAAAAACTGGAGATAATAAGTAGAGTTTAAGATTATAATATGCACACACACACATAAATACATAAATTCATATTCATTGGAAAGAAATTCACCAAAATGTTTAAAATGATTATTTCTCAAAGATAAGATTATAAGCTTTTTCTTGATATTTACCTGAATTAAAATATTCCCTTAATAATCAAATAATAATATCTTTAATTATATAAATAGTATAAGAAAATATAACTTTTAGATATATTTCTGGGCAGAATAATTTTTAAATAATTTGAAGCTTTAAAGGATGAAAAAAACTCATATATTGCCTTCCCTTTCTGAACCATCATAGATACATTCTTCTGGAAATTTGACAACACACTAATAAATAACCTTCCCCTCAATTCTTTTCTGGGACTTCAGGGTGAGAGGCAGCATTATGTGGCCCAGTGAAGAAGGCACTTGCTCCTGGGCATGCTGACTGAACATACTATCTGAAAAACATTTCTAGGTGACGTGGGCATGGCGTGTTTTACCTTCAGTCCTCTCAGGGGGTTTCCCGCTCTTACTGGCTGCAGTGCTGCTGACCGTCTCTGATGAGGTGCTCAGCTTGGTGCTGGGGTCCCGCTTGGGCTTGGGTGGTGGTTGCCTCCGTGAGCCACAGCTGCTGTCATCGTCTGTACCCCCAACTGAGTGCAGGGACTGTGATCTCACAGAAAAGCCGCTGGAGCAAGGATGGGGGAGTCTGTCCTGAGGAGCAGGCATTGTCATGAATCCCATGCGGAAATGTTTGCCCACGTAACTCCCTTCGTGGCCTCGCCCTACTTCTCCACCTATGCTGTAAAAGAAAGCAAACCAAAAACCATGAAGATAAAAGGAGCCAGGATATACAAGATCACATGTGTGAGCATATTTCTAATACGGAAACTTTCAAATCTTCATTTTAGTCTGGTGAAAGGCTGCCTTTTAAAACAAACTCAAGTAGCATGAAAGCATTCTAACTTTTGTGTTCAATGTTGTTTTCCCCAAAGGAAAGAAAAAATACGGCATAGAACACTTATCTTCAATCACTTTATATTTACTTTGAGGTAAATCTTATCAGTGGCTTAAAATGTAAACAAAAATTCCATGACAATGACTCATAGATTCCTTTCGATATGTGACTCAGTCCTAGTGGTCAGCACTTGGGACTCTTGTCCACTTCATCAAAACCATTCCTGCTTTTATCTGCTTAATGTATTGGAAAAAATGAAACAAACAACAATAATAAATGTTCTGTTACCAAACACGAAAGAAAGAAAGAAAGAAAGAAAGAAAGAAAGAAAGAGAGAGAGAGAGAGAGAGAGAGAGAGAGAGAGAGAGAGAAAGGAAGGAAGGAAGGAAGGAAGGAAGGAAGGAAGGAAGGAAGGAAGGAAGGAAGGAAGGAAGGAGAAAAAAAGAAAGAAAGAGAGAAAGAGAAAGAAAATGAAGGAAGGAAGAGAAAGAGAGAAAGTGAAAAAGTGAAGGAAGGAAGGGGAAAAAAGAAAAGAGAAAGAGGGAAAAAGAGAAAGACAAAAAGAAAAAAAGAAAAAAGAAAGGAAGGAAGAGAGAGGAAGGAAGGAAGGAAAAAGAAGGGAAGAAGAAAGGAAGAGAGGCAGAGAGGGAGGGAGAAAGGAGGGAGGGATGAGAAAATATTTGCTTAAATTGGTGAAGGTATTGTCAACCACTCTCAGTCCTCCAGAATCTTCAGTTACATTAGAAACAGTTCTACTAAGAAATCAGACACAGAATAAAACAGCAACATTGAGTAAAGACGTGTAGTTTAAATATCATTTGATCCTGAGATTATTCTAAGCACTTCATAAATACTCAGGGTATGCAAAGTTTCCAAATGTAAGGTTCTTAAGTTTTACATAGGAAAGTTTGGACAAAAATATTAAAATATAAGAAATCCCCTCTAATTTTGAAATTCAAGCAATTATTTAGGAAATGACTCGGGTCTCTGTCTATGCTATTAAGTAATAATGACTCCTTTATGAAGAGAAGGGACACAAATGTGAATGTAAACTTTTAAAAGGAAGATTTTTCTAGTTTCTTTTTATCTATGAAGTTATTCACCAAGAGTAAATACAGCGTTTTAAAAACATCATTACAAAATATTTGACTGATTTTCTTAGATATGTTTGAATGGTAAGAAGTACTTCTGAGTATATGAAGTTTGGAAGCTTGTTGAGTCTACCTTTCCAGACATGTAAGTTTATTCAGATCTTCGTTTACTAAAACTAATTTTGGCTAGCTCTGCCTTCATAATATGATGGAATTTTATATCTTTCATATCATTACAATGTTTGTTGTAATTTTAACATTCTATTAGGAACAATAATGAGAAATGAGATTTTCTTTCCCTTCTTCAACTGGGGACTTATGACAATTACATGTCCTTTGGGGATATAGCCAGGAAGAATTTAACGAGAACATTAGATTCTTGATTCTGGCTTTTAATACCAATGATAACTTGCCTCTCAACCCAAAATATTTTATATGTATTTTTTTCTATTTTTAATGATATTCAGACACTAAACACGGAGTACTATCTTTGCAATAAAAGTGGTTGGAATTTCAGTGCACTAAAAATCAACAGTATCCAGAAGCATGAATGGAGTCCAAGTGACAGCTAAGGGGCAGTGTTCACATCATAGCCGAAAGTATCCTAAGTCAGTGCAGTGTTTTTATGCTCTCTCTCTCTCTCCCCCTCTCTCCCTCTCTCTCTCTCTCTCTCTCTCTGTGTGTGTGTGTGTGTGTGTGTGTGTGTGTGTTTTAAAGAATGGCAATTAAGACGAACATTAGAAGCTTATCCAAACAGAGTGGTTTGTGAAAAATGAAGAATTTGAGAAAGGATGGGGTAGTGGATGTGAGGGGCAGTCTTGGTATAAGAAGGTCTATCTTCAGTTTGTGATGATGTGGCTTTGATCTTTCTCATAGATGATATACTTGATGTAATCTAACTTTGCTTTCAATTATTTTTCATCCTAATGTCTTTTGTTCATTTCTGTTGCATCACTGCACAAAAGGTGCTTGAAGGATTTATTTAGCCAGTCATCCCATTTCTGGTAACACAGCCACCTGGGGAAATTTATGCATGTGTTAATGCAGATGGGCATTTATGAGAGTTACTAAAAATAATTGTATCAGCAATTTCTCAGTTACTTTTGACCTAAATGGAGACTGAACCTTTTCCCAGACTGATAATTTACTCTGCTGCTTCATTTCAGAATTATCTTTTTTAACAGCACACAACAACTTAATCTAACTCTATTTGCTTTGGTTCATATATGCCTCTTACACACACACACACACACACACACACACACACACAAACATTTCCTTCAAAAGAAATTCAATGCACTAGCAGGTGTCACTGCAAGTTTAGTTTGGCCAGACTGTAAATGCAAGATGAAGAAATAGGACAAAAACTAATTTGGATGCAAAGACTGTTGTTCAAGTCAAGGCTAGGGACAAACAGTAAAGGTGATGGCACATCTACGTTCAAGAGACCCGAAAAGATTATTAGTCCAAAGCAAATTGAAGATTGTGACATGACAAGTAGTTTCTGAATTTGCTAGGAACCTGTGGAGTTTTTTTTAAATACACAGATTCCCAGACTCCATATGAAGGGCAATGATTGAATCATACCTGTTGAATCAGAATCTCTGTAGGCGTAGAAGATGAGTTTGTGTTTTTGAAACTATATCCAGATGTTTCAGATGTAGCTAATCCAGAACCCTCAGAAATATTAACAATAGTTAGGGCCATTAATGAGTAGATACATCAATTAGAAGCAATCAGGAAGAGGCAAATACTAGGCAAAATATCACGAATGAGAAAGCATACAACCTATTAGCCAAATCTTACTAGGTTATCCTGCAGTAACAAACAATCCCCAGTCCCTAATGTTTTTTAATGACATAGGTTTGTTTCTTGCTTGTATGAATGCACATCAACTGCGGCTCTGTTTCATGTACCTTCTTCATCCCAGGATGTAGCCCCATTGGGACTTTCTCTCCCGGCAGAGAGGGAAAAACACCAACTAGCTTATGCAATGTCTCTCCTGGCTTCTGCTCAGATGTGGCTTATAATCTTCCCATCACTCTCCACTGACTAAAACCAGTCTTATGGTCAAGCTTGAGGTCAGTGGCCTGGGGACATAGTCTCCTCCAATAAGAAAGTACTGTAAGTCATATGGCAACACATGGGGATGCATATTCCTTGTACAGGTAGGAGATCAAATACCTGGCAGCTGTGATGGTATGCAACTGAGATCTCTTAAGAGAGCACTTGCCATAAGGAATGAAGTTAGCTGACAAGACAACAATGATCCATTGAGTACTTTATGTTTCCAATCCCTATAACTCTGGACTCTACACAGAGTTAAAAGGTCCAGGTCCCCAAAGAGGGCACATTCTTTTTAGAAGATACAGCGAGGGTCCCATTGAACAACTTAGAGCTGCCCCTTGGGCAATTTGAACACCCCTTGTGTAGTGGGTAACAGGCAAGAAGAAGCTGATCATGGTGGTGTGTACCTGTTTCCCAGACACTCTGGAGACTGAGGTGGGAGGTTTGCTTGAGCTCAGGAGTTCAGGGCTGCAGTGCGCTATGATCATACCACTGCACCACTCCAGCCTGGGCGACAGAGCAGAAGCCTAGCTCTAAAACAAACAAACAAAACAGAAGAGTCGTTGCCATTGTGGAAGAGATCCTTGATCCTGGTCAGCAGGAGGTAAGGCTGCTTTTATGCAATGGGGCAGAGAGAAGTATGTGTGAAACCAAGGTAATCCACTTGGGTGCCTCTTGGTACTGTCTTGCCCAAATGTGACTTTGAAAGGTCACATGCAGCAATCCTGGCCCAGAAAGGTTATGGTTACCAGGGGCTCCAACTTCTCATGAAAGAGAGATTAGTCTCTCCACCAAGTAAGCCATTGAGACAAGTGGAAATGGTTCCTGAAGGTGCACTGAATTTCGGATGAATGATGGAGGAGGGAGATGATGAGAACCAGTCGTATCTCCCATACAAACTGCAGTGATGAGGACTATAGTTTATCTCCCTAACTGCACCCTTCCATGTTTCCCCTCAGGAAGAGCCAGAAGGGAGCCAGGAGAGAACTGTTCCCCAAGCCTGCAGGAGAAGGACATCAGCTGAGTCTAGGGAGTGAACTGTGGCAGCTGTGGAGGTGTGTGACTCAGAAATCCCTCGAGAGAGGACCTTCTTTGAGGACAGCAGTCAGCTGACAGCCGTCAGCAGCCATCTTCCAAATCTGGTGCAGCATTTTTGTTGAGGCTATGTTGTCCATGTGCAGCTCCTAGACAACGGATGAGCACAATGAGGTATTACACCTGGTTACTTCTTCCCAGATTCAGGCAACCTTTATGGCTGGCTTTCCCTATTGCACTGGTCAAGACCTTCCTTCCCATCACTATACCACAGTCTGATGATCTTCCTATTCAATTGCTTTTCCTCCCTCTCTCCTTTTACAGGTGCTAGACCTGCATTGTGATCTGAGGCTCGTCCTGCCTCTTCCTGCTTCCTCCCCTTCTTTATCTCTCATAGGCATTCTTCCCAACAAACCTCCCAGACTTCTAACTCTGTCATGGTGACTGCTTCCTGCGAGACCTGAACTGACATACTTGGGAACACTTATACAACCTCTGGCATTCAGAAACCAAAGAAGCAGGGAAAGAGAGAAGGCATCACGACAAATGGAAGACCCCAGAAATAAGGAATGCCTGTAAAAATAGGTCATTCTCCTGCTTCAGACTGAGCATTTAAATGAGGCTTGAGGATTTAGAAGCTAAATGCACTAT